AGGTAATAAGTGGTGTTTACAATAATGATGATATTGATATTTATCTTTTTCAAAGTTGTAGTATGGTAGTTTGTGCGATTACCACTATTAGTTAAACTTTGAATAAGTCCATCCTGAGGCAAGCGTGCCCTATTCGATCGAGCAATTTGCCTTATATGAGTTAAGCGCATTGTTCTTGGAACTTGATTGATGCTGCCTTCTCCAAACGGCACTATTGTGAGTCGTTCAACATGATTGCTACTGCCTTCATCGAATTGCACTATGTTAGGGTGTTGAACTTGATCGGTATTGCCACCAAATAACATTATGTTTGAGCATTGAATTTGTTGATCACGATAATTGGATCGTCGTTGTGCTAAGTAATCGTGCCTTTGCCTTGAACTCATTGAATTCCGCCTCATACGTTGTTGATCCCGCCATTGCTCTCGTTGGCTTTGTCTCTCATTAGTAACATATGCATCTTGTTGCTCTAAACCAAGAAACGTAATGATGCACGAAAAATATTAGTAAGTATATAATATTATTTAAGTACCTACATACTTATTTTTTTTCCTTTTGTTTTTGTAATTGAATCAGTGGTATACATTACGTTTTTTTTCTTCGTTTGATTGGAAAATAAAATAAAAAAAAGTTTACGGTAGACTTAGTTTACTATTATTTTTCCTTTTGTTTTTGTAATTGAATCAGTGGTATACATTACGTTTTTTTTCTTCGTTTGATTGGAAAATAAAAATAAAAAAAAGTTTACGGTAGACTTAGTTTATTATTATTTTTCCTTTTGTTTTTGTAATTGAATCAGTGGTATACATTACGTTTTTTTTCTTCGTTTGATTGGAAAATAAAAATAAAAAAAAAGTTTACGTAGACTTAGTTTATTAAAGAGTAAATACAATAATAGTGGTAAAATAAAATTAGTTTAAAGCAGACAATTTAGCACATAGTGTCACGGGAAGAGAGGAGGAGGACAAAGGAATGGTTTCTAACTTATAGAACTATTTTTTGTTTTATCCCCATGTCGTGAATCAACCATTGGGGGTCTAGTGTTGTTATAGAACTAATAATATGATTATGTTTTCCCTTGATTATTATAGTTGAACTTTTATTCCATGTTTACATAAAAAAATTTATCACTTACCGTTCCAGACATATTCCTTTCCTTATTATTATTATTATTTTTGGAGTACTTGTTAAAACGTTGGTCACTGTGGTAAATATATACAATCCAAATGTTGGAATTGTTATAGACATAACAGAATTATTAAATGGATGTTTTCCATTGATAGTACGAAAGGCAATGACAATGTAAAATAACTAATCGTTCAATCTTAATGGATGTGTCTTAATAATTTGTACAAAAAATATTCATACAACATATGGATTTACAAATATATATATAATTAATAGAGACAAAAAAAAATATAGTTACCCGCTGATGTTGGTCCTATGTCATCTTGGTTTACTTCCGTTTGATTTTGTACTATATTTACCGAGTTCAATCGGGCTTGATAATTAGCACGTCGTCGCAGTGAAATTCGAGCCCGCTGTGATGAATTCATAGATTGTCGTCTTTGCCTTTGTTGATTGCTCCTACGATACCTTTGGTTTGACTGTTGAGAATTGTGAACATTTGTTTGTCCGAAGTGAACTTCTTCATTGCCGACCTACATTGAGAAATTGCCAAAAAGAATGAATTTTATTTTATTTTTGAAAAAGAAAAAATAAATCATCTCTACATTAGAGGAATAATGCAGAAAAGGTAAGAACCTCTGACATATTGGTTCTATCATTTCCCTCCATACTTGATATGTTGAAGTCCTTTGGGAATCTTAAAAGTGAATACGTCTCCTGTCACACAAAAACTCCCTAGACTAAGAAGCAGTTCCACAGGGAAGCAGTTTAACAGTAGTCGATGCAATACCTAAGCCAATGAAAAATACAGAAATTGCAGACTAAATGAAAAAAATTTACATTCAGAATATAAGTAACTTAAAAACTGCACATAAACAGAATTTATATTACAATTGAACCAACCTTTGCTAATGCTGACCCGTCAGCGGATCGAACTGCCCCTACATTAAAGCAGGAAAAAGTTCATTTGACATGGCTAAATAAACTTGAGGGTTGCATAAATCAAGTTATTATTAAATAAGGAATATAGAATGAATGATATTGACTCTAATGTACATATGAATTGTGAGAGGAAAACTTACCATTTATTCACGAAATTAATCCGGAAGAAAGAAGCAATCTTCCGATCGAACCCAAATTCCAAATTCAAAAGTAGACGGGTCCGAGAAAGGCAGGCGTGTGATATGGTTGTCCCACTGCAATATAAATTCAATCACAAAATTGTTAAAGGTGTGTCCTTTTTACCCCATAATTGACAGAGTAAAACAACATATAATCATAGAAACTTTCGCTTATTGGTGAATGCTGGACGAAGAGAGGAAAAAAATCGCATGAGAATAAGAAACCATTCAACAATAAGCATCATGCAAGCTGTCAAGAACCACTAATAAAAGTATCAAATAACACAAAAGATCAACTGCATTGTATACAATAGGAGAATGAGAATTAAGAAGGCAGCAAGGAACAAAGAAAATTAAAAGAGTGAAAAATAAAAACTGGATTGATGGTGTAAAATGGAAGTAAATTATGAACGTTCTTCAAGGGCCGTGGACTTGATCTTGAAGGTGGATTTGAGCGGATCTTCAAAGGGGTTTTTGGGCTTGATCTTTGAAGAACAGTGATGAACGGGTCTCCAAGGGCTTTTGGGCTTGATCTTGAAGAACAGTGATGAACGGATCTTCAAGGGCTTTTGGGCTTGCTCTTGAAGAACGGTTGGATGTGTGGATTTGTCGACGTTGTTGATCCAAAGGGCCGTTGGGGCTTGATCTTGGATGAACGGATGATGAACGATGGTGCTTTCTTCAAGGGCCGTCGGGGCTTGATCTTGAATTGGTGGATGATTGTTGATCCAAAGGGCCGTTGGGGCTTGATCTTGGAAGAACGATGAACGAAGAACGAAGAACGCTTTCTTCAAGGGCCGTCGGGGCTTGATCTTGAAGGTGGATGATTGTTGATCCAAGGGCCGTCGAGGCTTGATCTTGGAAGAACGATGAACGAAGAACGAAGAACACTTTCTTGATTCTTCGGGAACCTGGATGCTTGAGAGCTTCGGAGTTTCAGAGCTTCAGAGCTTCAAGGTGTAATATGAATTGGTCCCCTTTTAAATGAATGAAATGGGCTTGTATTTATAGAATTTTCCAATGCCTAATTTTGAATATAATATCCCAGATGAAATAAGTCGTTTCTGCCAGGTGTTGACACGTGTCCTATTTGATGACTTTTCCAACTCATTTCAATTTTCGTTGAGTCACACGCTACGTGTAAAATTTATGTAATACATGAGCGTTGACACTTTGATTTATCGGTCAACATTTATTTACGAAATTTCGATGTCTACAGGTTCTTCCATGCTTGAAAATATAGACGGATTACTTCCAAACAGAAATACATTGGCATCAGATACGTGTGAAATCAAAGCCATGCTTGCCACCCATTTGCTTGCACTTGATGCTTTAGATTTTCATGGTTAATCTGCAAGTAATGATGATAAAATAAGAAGTCTAACTATAATGCACAATCCCAAATATAAAGGTTGTAAGCAATTTAACCTAAATACCTTTAACTTTGACAATTTTCTGATGACAATACTTTTACTCCAGATACTTTTAGAATACTGAAAGATAAATAATTTGTCAAATTTGAGGTAACAAATTGTAATCATGTTTACAAAATTAAATAGTAAGAAATGTTACCTTAATCTTGTACTTCAACCTTTGTACTTTGCGACGGGTGCGATGCTTGTAAAACTGACAAAAAAATGCAATTTTATTTCTATTTGAAAATTGAATGCAATTTGAATTTCCAGTATACTTCCGTATGAAAATAAGAGAATACTTACCGTATTTAGAAAAGTTGTTTGGTCACTATTAATCTTTTTCCTGCACCCATAATTTTTTTTTTTATAATTCGAGATAATTACTTTTTAGATTTTTTTTAATTTTATAATTTGAGATAATTAATTTGTAGAATGATATAGACAATGCCATTAAAAATAAATAGGTAAGAAATGGTGTTGTACCTAATTTGTTGGACTTTATTCCAAATTCGTATGATGCGAGGAGTTGTTGAAGGTTTTAATTCTTCTACAGCCTTTTTCATGCGCCACCTATATATTGAAGGTACATATAATGTTAGAATTTTTTGTAACAAATTTAATAAAGAATTTAGAATACATATTGCTCATGCTTCTTTTTTTTCCACTCTTTGAGAATCAGTTGGCTTAGATCAGTAGTTTTTACTCCAACAGATATCTCCCACCCAGGTGTAAAAATAGAGACACGTCTGTTTGTGATCTTATCAATAGGTAGTTCCTTCTCCATTTTTTTGTGGGTGTTCTTGTAAATATCCTGAGAATGAAAACAAATAATTTTTTTAATTTCCATAGCACACGTATAGGACATCAAGATAATCAAAATTGAAACTCATAATCTAACCAAAATTTAAAAATCACACAATGGAAATTTCAAAGGAAGAAGTTTAAAAAACTAAAATTGACTTAGAAATACTAAATACAAACTCATATATACATCCTGAAAGCTGCAGTAGACCGCATCAAATTCATCACCTAAAAGATAAACCGTAAAAAAAACCTAAAAACTGAAAAGGTAAATTTAGATTGAGATTTACCCAAAGTTACTCAAACCTTTGAACTTTGGAGCCTAATAGAATCGTCTTGACCCTATAGCAAAAAGGAGAGAGAAAGAATAAGAAAATTGAAATAAAAAGCACCAAGATTTTAACCACAAAAGCTATAGCATATACGTTTCAAAGGCGAAAACCCGTGGAAGTGAAAAGAAAGAAGCTTACACCCAGATTAATTCCCTTTTTACGCCTGGGGAGAGGGAGAGGGAGAGACAGAAGAATGGCAAAGCAAAAAAAGCGAAAAATTTGAAAAAAAAGAAGAATGATGACTCGAACATTGCTTAAACCCGTTTTATCCCACGTTGGAGTGTGAGAGTCTGTAATACCAAGCAACAACTCTTGATAGCAGTTACATAACTGAGGGGAAAAAGTTGGAATGTAATGTAATGTGATTTTGTTCACATTTTATGCAATTGATCGCTGGGCATTTGAAGACGAACATGGAGGAAAAGTTGGATAATTATCCTCCTAAACTGAGCAGCTATAATTATAACACGTTGAAAAAAAAATGGAGCTCAAATTTGAAACTGCAATTAGCAGTTGCAATTGGTTTTATTCCTTTCCCACAAAAACTAAATGTCTTCACTCTCAGGTATGTTACTTTGATGTTTGATTTATTTTTAATTTCCATTTTTATCATTAACTCCATATTTGATCAAATATATAGGATGATTGGTGAATCCCCAGTGATCGATGCGTTTTCAATATATGAGTTGGTGGTTTCGTTCTTTTGGGTAACTTCGTTTAATTCTTTTTTTCTCCTGTCCATGAAATTTTAATTAATTTAGTAAAAATGTTCAATTTTGGTTTCTGGGAAATTAAAAGTTTGAACCTTTTTTATTTGTGTAATCAATTTTGAAGTTTGTTTCACAGGGAAAATATGGAAGAAGGAAGAGAAATAGCGGAAGAAGAGGGAACAAAAATAGTTTTGAGTCATCCTATTCTGTTTTAGGTAACATATTTTCATCCCTTTTCGTTTTTCCTTCTGTCCATGATTTTGTTTTTAACTAATTTAAACAAAATGATCATTAAAGTTTGAATCTTTTCTATTTCTTATAGATTTGGGCCTCAAGAGCGGAGCAGAAGAGGACTTGATCATGTTTTTTTTCTTCATTTAGATGGTTGATCTACTCTCTTATTTGGCGCTCTGACTTTTTTATCTGCTTCTATTTCCTAGGTGTATTTTTTTATAGACAATTGGTGGACGATGGTTTGACGGGACGGCGTGCTCTGAGAGGCTACGTGAAGGGTATATTTCTATTTTCTTTTTCTTCCATGTTTTATTTATTTATTGGTGATCAAATGATACTTTGTTCTTCTTCCATTTTGGAAGAAAAATGTTATAATTGCTCTATTCTGTAATGGTTTTAAGGCTTTACAGATGTCCTTAATTGTTTATGTCATGTTTAGTTTATCGTAATACTGTAATCTACGATCAAACCTATATATGTAGTATGAACGCTATATCATAGAAGGTGTTGTACCATACTTGACCAATCCCGAAACTACCGAGCACCGGCCAACGCTATACTGTCAAGGACCCAGAAGAGTTCCCCTCCGACCAGGAGGCCAATCACTACTCGACACGTGTCAAGATTAGAAGCCAATCAGAGCGCAGCACGTGTCGACATCAAGAACCAATCACAACATGACACATGTCAATGTGACAAAGCTACAAGTTTTTCTATAAATAGGGGTCATTCCCCCACAATATTGGCTAATGCCATTTGTGTTAAATCATTCACAAGAACTCACTAAATTGAGAGCTTGATCCTTTGTACTTGTGTAAGCCCTTCACTACTAATAAGAACTCCTCTACTCCGTGGACGTAGCCAATCTGGGTGAACCACGTACATCCTGTGTTTGCTTCTCTGTCTCTATTCATTTACGTACTTATCCTCACTAATGACCGAAGCAACCAAGCGAAGGTCACAAAACCTGACACTTTCTGTTGTACCAAAGTCTTCGCTTATTTTGTGCATCAACATTTGGCGCCGTCTGTGGGAAACGACACTTATTCCTACTCTCTTTAGCTGTGTCAAGCTGGTTTCTATCATTCGTACACTTTCTTTTGATCAGGCATCCCTCTCCAGCATGGGAAGCGAAGGAAGCCACAGCACACAGAATGACACCCCCCTTGCACATAGTGCGAAACAACGAAAGAAGGAAGGAAAACGAGTTCTTCTTCAAGCTAAAGTCGATGAGTTGGAAGCTCAGAACAACAAGATAGCAATGAGGAATGAGGTCCTCCAGGAGCAATATGAGAAGCTCTTCGAGACACTTCACGAACCTAGGCAAGCTCAGACACGCGAGCTTGTTGCCCCCGTGGAAGTCAACCATCAACTGGGTGCCCTCCAACATGGAGGGTCACATGCATTCGACATAGATATCCCTGATAGGGAACAAATTACCCCTCAATTTGATAATCAACATGAGGCTTCTCTTAACCCAGTTGCTTCGACCCGAACCATGAGAAGCGGAGGGAGACACCTCTTTGCTGAAGGGGCAGGGCAGAAGGATCGAAAGCCGTCTTTCGCGATTGTCGGGATTTCCTGAAGCAACGTCGAGAGAATTCCATCCATATAAGCTCAAAGATCAATGACCCAAGGATTTCTGAGAGACTCGGTCCCCTGCCACGGCCCGAGCCGGCCACCAACTTGGGGAAAGGGGCAACAAGTCCTAGAGAGACATGAGGGTACAGGGGACTCAGAGGTGTTCCGACAGACATACCCTGGAAGCCAGTAGTACAGCGAGTCCAGGGAAAAATCACATGCCCTTGATCAAACCTTCCTAATTCCAGGAGGAGATGGAGATTTACGAAAGAAAGCTCCAGTGGCACATAACTCCGCTCAGGACCCCCTTGTCCTACAACTTCTTGAGGAAGTAAACAAGTTGAAGGCTGAACGTCAGGCTGAAATACCTGACTGGAACCAACCCAGGCCTGGCCCTCTTACAAGGAGGATCCTCAACACCCCCCTTCAAGCAAAGACACAAAGCAGAAGCTTGGCTTGCAACTTTATACTGGGAAAGAGGACCCGACCCGATTGACCTTAACCTCTTTGAGTCCACCATGGCATACCGGATGCACACCGACGAAGAGCGATGTCTTCTCTTCCCCTCCACCCTCTCTGGCGGAGCTCTAAATTGGTATTGTCGTCTTACACCTGAGACGGTAGACTCATTTGAGGAATTGAGGAAACTATTTGTTTCCCAACACATTTTCCAAACCGATCGCTTGCACTCTGCAGATGACCTGTACACTATCCGCCAGAAGCCAGACGAGTCATTACGTATGTATGCTGGCCACTTCAGCCATGAATACTCCCGGTGTGCCGAGGCAGACGACAAGACTGCCCTCAAAGCCTTCACGGCAAGCCTACGTGATTGTTTCTTTAAATACATGATCAATGCCAATACTTGGAAGGAAGACTTACTCTGAGGTGATGGCGCAGGCTTATAACCATGCCTCCGCCGAGGCAAAGACATATCAGGAGAAACCCCCTCACCCAACGCCATGGAGGAAGAACTAGCAATAGCTAAAGTTTTACGGTTGGGAAGATCATCCAATGTTTCTCTAGTACAGGACTCTAACAAAGACCCTGAAGACTCCGACATTGCAGACTCAGACTTAGAGCTAAAGCTAGAAGAGCCCTCATCACTAGAACTTCCAGGCTCTGACATCTACAATAAGAAGAAACAAATTCTATCACTACATGCATGATCAAAACATAAGGAAGTTCCTATATTACCCACATGAAGATGGTGCAAAGCGATGCCGGAACCCTTCTCAATCAGAAAGCAATCCGTCTTCCACAGTCACTACAAAACAAGCAAATGAAGACCGTGTCAAGCGCCAAAAAAAAAAAAAAAAAAAAAAAAAAAAAAAAAAAAAAAAAACAGCTTCATCCAAAAATCTTCACCCGAAAAGCTTCACCTCCAAAACTTCACCCAAAAAGCTTCATCCAAAAAGTTTCACCCAAAAAGCTTCACCTAAAAAAGCTTCACCCAAAAAAAAAACTTCACCTCCAAAAAGCTTCACCCAAACAGCTTCACCTAAAAAAGCTTCACCCACAAAGCTCACCTAAAAAGCTTCACCCACAAAGCTTCACCCAAAAAGCTTCACCTCCAAAACTTCACCCAAAAAGCTTCATCCAAAAAGTTTCACCCAAAAAGCTTCACCTAAAAAAGCTTCACCCAAAAAAAAAAAAAAAAAAAAAAAAAAAAACTTCACCTCCAAAAAGCTTCACCCAAACAGCTTCACCTAAAAAAGCTTCACCCACAAAGCTTCACCTAAAAAGCTTCACCCACAAAGCTTCACCCAAAAAACTTCACCCGAAAAGCTTCACTTAAAAAAGCTTCACCTACACAGCTTCACCTAAAAAAAACTTCACCTAGAAAGCTCCCTCTACATACTTTCACCTACAAAGCTTCACCATCAAAGCTTCACCTCGAAAGCTTCATCTACAAAGCTTTATCTACAAAGCTTCACCATCAAAGCTTCACCCAAAAAGCTTCACCTAAAAAAGCTTCACCCAAAAAAAAACTTCACCTCCAAAAAGCTTCACCCAAACAGCTTCACCTAAAAAAGCTTCACCCACAAAGCTTCACCTAAAAAGCTTCACCCACAAAGCTTCACCCAAAAAACTTCACCCGAAAAGCTTCACTTAAAAAAGCTTCACCTACAAAGCTTCACCTAAAAAAGCTTCACCTACAAAGCTTCACCTACATAGCTTCACCCAGAAAGCTTCATCTACAAAGCTTCACCATCAAAGCTTCACCTCCAAAGCTTCACCTACAAAGCTTCAACACAAAACCTTGCTCCAAATAAACAAATTTTGTTCACAAAACCCAAGATGCCCTTGAACTTGTACAAAAACACTTGGGTAAACATAAACATTTTTTGTTTTACACCCACAAGGGCCCAAAATTTTCCTTCTTATTTATTCACTTATATATGTTCCCAAACATATTATAATAGATCCAACAACAAGCCAAAGTCCCAAGTTTCATAATGGACAAAAGTACAAGCAATTCATCAATAATGAAGGTGCTACAAAAATTGGAATCTGCCCCAAAATAGAAATCCAACCCAAGAGACTTTTTTCTCTCTCCCTCTTCCGCCTCCTTTCATCTATCAAATTTCTGCAACCTCTGCTCTTTCTCCAATGGAGCTGAATTTTTAGACACCCTATAGTTCTTGAGCATATGAACAACTTTCAAGAAGGAACCATTTCTGTTTGAGCGACGGAAATTACAGTGTTGAAGCTCCAAACATGATAGTCGGCTTCTTGCAGATTTTCGAAGCTGTTGTGATGTTTCGAAGATCTGGAAATATTTAACCGTTAGTTCATCCTGAATTTTTGATATGTTATGAAAGAGTTGATGAGGAACAACTTCAATGAAGAAAGCATGCCGATCTGCTCAATAGAAAATGGAGTTTCGAAGCTCACAACAAATCTGACGGGTTGACAGAAAAATAATAACCAGTCATTCATCATACCTGGATTTCTGGAGTTATACTGCTCCGAGGGATCTCAAATTTGGATATGTTGTAGTTCACGAGCTGAGGAACAACTTCAATGAAGAAAGCATACCGATCTGAACAAGAGAAAATGGAGTTTCGAAGCTCACAACAAATCTGACGGGTTGACAGAAAAATAATAACCAGTCATTCATCATACCTGGATTTCTGGAGTTATACTGCTCCGAGGGATCTCAAATTTGGATATGTTGTAGTTCACAAGCTGAGGAACAACTTCAATGAAGAAAGCATGCTGATCTGAGCAAGAGAAAATAGAGTTTCAAAGCTCACAACAAATCTGACGGGTTGACAGACAAATGATAAACAGTCACTCATCATACCTGGATTTCTGGAGTTATACTGCTCCGAGGGACCTCAAATTTGGATATGTTGTAGTTCACAAGTTAAGGAACAACTTCGATGAAGAAAGTATGTTGATCTGAACAAGAGAAAATGGAGTTTCGAAGCTCACAACAAGTCTGACGGATTAACAGAACATTGATGAACAGTTACTCATCATACTTGAATTTCTGAAGTTGTACTACTCCGATGGATCTCAAATTTGGATATGTTGTAGTTCACAAGATAAGGAAAAAACTTTCATGAAGACGACTTTGCAATCTGAGCTATAGAGAAAGGTGTTATCTTGCATCCACTCAGGCTGATTAGTGGAAACGAAAAGCAATTCCACCAAAGAAAAGATGAAAAAGAGAGAAAAGCTACTAATTGCACTTGATCTTGTCTAGTCAATAGCATGCAGCATCAAACACACAAAAGTTGGAAATATTTTTAGATAAAAGCATATACGAATGTGTGACATCGAAATAAGGATTCGTTACTTTGACAAATTAGTAACACGCGAGACACCTCATTCGGCAACTCTCTTCGCCTGAAGACTTGGGGGACTCCCACCATATGCTACTGCACCTTGATACTCGGCAGTCTCACAACCACTCAGTGACTTGGATTTTTCAAGTCTCCAACCGAGAAGTTTTTCCTCACTCGGGAAATTAAGGGAACACTACCTCAAACTACATGCTTCACTCACAAAGCTTCAACAATACAGGTTTCAACAAAAGCAAAAATTCAAAGAACTTTATGAAGAAGGTTTTGGTGTATTTAACACAATATGTTGAAATGAAGCAAAGCTTATTTTTATTAATATTTTCGATAAGCCACAAAATATGTACATATACATGAGTCAAAATAAACAAACAAAAGGGAGCCTTCACAAAAGTTGCTTAGGGGAAGTCTCAGCAGTCGGTAGAGCCCCAGAAAGAGAAAGCACCGGAGGGTGGTTATCCGGAGCCTCAGTACTTGACAAAACCCCAGAAGGGGGAGGCATTGGAGGTTCATCATTTGAAGCTTCATTACCAGGTACAGTCCCAGAGGACGAAGGCAATAAATGCCTTTGGAACAAACCCACAAACCGCTGATGATCAAGTAAAACCTTACCATCAGATTCCTTCATCTGGTCAAGCTTCCTCTTCATGTTTGTAGCATAGTCATGGGCGAGCCGGTGCAACTGCTTATTCTCATGCTTGAGCCCTCTAATCTCCTGTTTGAGACTCATCACTTCAGCAGCCAATGATTCAACTTGGCGGGTTCTAGCAAATAGGCGTTGGGCCATATTAGACACAGAACCTGCACACTGAACACTAAGAGCCAGAGAGTCCTTAACAGCCAACTCATCAGACCGTTTGGAAAGTAGTCTGTTATCTTTGGGAGTGAGAAGGTTCCTGGCCACCACTGCAGCGGTCATATCATTCTTCATCACAGAATCCCCAACGGTAAGAGGACCAGTAGGGGATATGAAGGATGGGCGCCATATGTTGTCTGGAGAAGGCGTGGCTGTCTCTTCTCCAAGGTTCAAGTCAAAACGACGGTCGGAGGGTCCAGACATTTTCAAATGTGTTGAAGAAGGAAGAGGTCAGACAAATCAAGATCTTAGAAGTGCAAGAAATGAGCTTCCACTGGTAGAGATTCAAGTGTGCTGTGGAACTTAATGCCAGCCTCTATAAAAATCTGCACTCGACGGAGCTTCAGAAATCGAAGAGGCGTTTGCTTTCTCAAAAGCTGGGCTGCTCAGAGACCACGAGGGCCGATCTCAGAAATCGAAGAGGCGTTTGCTTTCTCAAAAGCTGGGCTGCTCAGAGACCACGAGGGCCGATCTCAGAAATCGAAGAAGCACCTGCTTTTTTCAGCCTCGTCAGCACCTGTCACATGCACAATCAGCTTTGCGGAAATTACGGGCACTCTCTGTCGAAGATTTCTGGTGAAGTAGAAAGCACGTGAATCTTACTGTTCAATCACCGCTCTCCATATGCACCATCAACTCCTCGGTACCACATATAACTTTGTCAAAGATCTCTGACAAAGTTTAGGCACGAGAATTTCGAAGTTCCAGCTACCCTACTATTACCCATAAGGGTAAAGGAACAGCACCACTGCTTGACAACTGGAAAGTCCCTATGTGTGTCGACCTCCGTGTTTTGCGGCAAGACAGGTTGGCAAGAACGTCCAACCTTTACTCACATTCGAGAAAAGACTCCCAACATAATTACTTTCTCAAAAACCGGAGTAGCACCGCTTTCCGAATCTGGAGAGTCAGATCCTCGACGAGATTGCTTGTTCGAAAACCGAAGAGGCACAACTCTCAGAACTTCGAAAGCCAGATTTCCTTAGATAAAGCTTGTCTGTAATCTTCACACGTAATATCAGCTTTCCAGATACCACATACCACTTTTTCAAAGTGCTCTGACAAAATTAAAACACGTGAAGCTGGCAGCTCCCACTACATTGCTGTGACCAAGAAGGGTAAAGGAATAGCATTACTACTTGTTATTGGGAAATCCCTATATACATTGACCTCCCTCCTCAACGGACAGGCAAACCTGCAAAAATGCTCAACCCTTTCTCGCATTCGAAAAGGCACCCTCAACATAACCTCTCGAAATACTCAGCTTTATTTCCCCCCGATAATACCTCAGCAAATAAGCCACACCAAGAACAAGAGTATCTCATATCATCAGGGTCGAAAGCAAGAGTATCCCATATCATGCTTTCTCCCTGTCTTTGTCTTTGTCCTTGTCCACACCTGCAGGACAAAGAGAAAGAGAGCAGTCAGTCGGAACCTGAAATCAAACCTCCAATTTGGAACTGACTGCCTGGAGCCTTTGCCTGGTTGCTTACTTAGCATTGCTCTCGAGTACCCATCCTCAACTGCTGTCAAGGTCACGAATTCCACCGGCAAATACCTCATGACAGTTGATCAGATATTGGCTCTTTACACTGAAGCTGCCAAGCGGGGATGAGTCACTATGAAGGAATGTTCTGAAGGACCATTTAAATGCAAAGGTTGCACACCACTTCTGCCATGCAAAAGATTGAAGCAGAAGGTTCAACGGTGGGCTGAAACAGATCACTACAGCACGACACCTTTCCAGACCACATTCATTATTCCGTCAACAGCAAAAGTATCCCATATCATCAAGGTCGAACGTACTCTAGATTTGATGGACTTGTTTTGACCCTCAAATTTTTGAGTCGGCCTTATACTCTGAAGGGCACCAGAAAACCCTCCAGCACAGTTCAAGAATAAGCCTGTGGAAAGTTACTTCTTCAAAAGCAAAAGTATCTCATATCATCTCTTATCCATTTGCTTCTCCTTATCCTGACAGTTGAATGAGAGACAAGGAGAAGAAGAACAATCAACCGGAAGCCGAAGTCAAATCTCTGATCCTGGGTTGCTTACTTGGAAGTTTGACTGCTTACCTTGTCTGTCACCTCTTTCGGCAGATCTCCTAGCTCGGCGACTTGGGGGACTCCTACTATAGGGTTTGTATCACACTTGACTAAGCCCGAAACTACAACTAAGCTTCAAGTGAAATTGATACATTACCTTGTGCGTCAACATCAGCTAAATACACCATTCCCGGATGGAGGAAAGGTACTTCCAGAGAAGGGCAGATGAAGATCAGACCACACTTCGGTACTTAGAAGTTTCGTGATTACTCAAGGGATCGGATCTTGCAAGTCCCCAACCGAGGAGTTTCCCTCACTCGGGAACTTAGGGGAGCACTGTTTGTACCATACTTGACCAATCCCGAAACTACCGAGCACCGGCCAACGCTATACTGTCAAGGACCCAGAAGAGTTCCCCTCCGACCAGGAGGCCAATCACTACTCGACACGTGTCAAGATTAGAAGCCAATCAGAGCGCAGCACGTGTCGACATCAAAGAACCAATCACAACATGACACATGTCAATGTGACAAAGCTACAAGTTTTTCTATAAATAGGGGTCATTCCCCCACAATATTGGCTAATGCCATTTGTGTTAAATCATTCACAAGAACTCACTAAATTGAGAGCTTGATCCTTTGTACTTGTGTAAGCCCTTCACTACTAATAAGAACTCCTCTACTCCGTGGACGTAGCCAATCTGGGTGAACCACGTACATCCTGTGTTTGCTTCTCTGTCTCTATTCATTTACGTACTTATCCTCACTAATGACCGAAGCAACCAAGCGAAGGTCACAAAACCTGACACTTTCTGTTGTACCAAAGTCTTCGCTTATTTTGTGCATCAACAGAAGGGATTTTATTTTCTTACTTTGTATTCAGAGGAAACAAAGAAAAACCATGGGAAGACATCTACAGTCGGTCCAGGAACAATGATTATAGAATTTGGTTCAACTTCTTATTTCCTGTAATCAGTTCAACTTCTTAATTCTTTATATTCAGTTGGATTTCCTCTTCGTTGGGGTTGATTATAGAATTTGGGATTGTTCATTTGGTGTTTCAAGTATTCGTAAGAGTGTTTGCTTAGTTTTTAGGGTGATATCCTTATTGCGTTGCTCTTTACTTGGACCAAAATAAAGAAACACACTTGAAACCCTTGCTTTCTGTAAGTTTTTTTAGGAAAGGGGAAAAGTACGGGTAGCACTACTTCTCCTTTTATTTGAATAGGAGTGAGGAGACAAGAATGCATATACACTGCAAAAAAAAAAAAGGTCTAAGAACACAATTCATTGGTGCCCTTTTATCTCGAATTGATGAAGTAAAGATGTTCTTTATCTGCGTATGCTTTGTCTATTGTTGTTACTTCGTGTTTCGATCAATTTTTCTTTGCATAAATAAGATGCCATGCAAGCAAGTAAAGCTTTCTGGGTTTTACATGTCTACTGATTCTGAAGCTGGAGTGCCAAACCATGAAAATGGTCGTCAGATTGAGGTTTAAGAGTTGCTTGACTATTAAATATTTTACGTTGTTTAAAATATTGTTCAACGAAGAGTTGCTTGGCTATGAATTAGTGTAAGATTCAGAGGAATGTAGTTTATCATACTCAAGAGTGCAGGTACGCATAATTTTATATGTAATTGATTCTTCTTCGCTAATAATCTTCCCCTATTTCCTTTTGTTCTGTATATAATGGATCGTCTTAAATTTACAGGTTCATGGCTCATTCAGGCTGCAAAGGATTTGATTACTTTCTTTTTAGGAATATGAACTGAAACAACTTCATAGTTCGGGTGTAATTATTTGTCTTATCAAGTAAATAACTGTATCTTATGATCTGTTTGTTTTTTTCATGCATGGGATTGTATTTTTGATTGGAAGGTTATAAAAATGAACACCTTTTACAGTGCTCCAAAATACGATAGATATACATGTTTTGCACTAATAAAACAAGATTATTACTACTTTATGTATTCAATTTTATATTAAGGTACAATATCTATACCAAATAAAATAGGGTTGGCATATACACATTAAGAAAACAACCTCCATTTTCACTTTTAATAGAACAAGGCTCGGGTTTGATTGTAAAAACAAAAACAAAATTGTTACACTAATTTTTCTTAAGAATAAAAACATGCTAAGGCGATCTACAAATAAAGAGATTGGAAACTAATGTAATAAACTTTCATCTTCTATAGAAAAATAGAAACAAGTTAAGCATGAGCAATTAAGAAAACACCATTTTTAAACACATAAAATTCAGCTCTCAACGGATAAGAATGTTGATAGACAAATGAACACCTATGCCTCCTAAAAAAGGCTGTTTTAATCCTCTCACACGCAAGTGTTGTTTCCCTATTGCATGAAAACAATTGACACAGTATATAATTAAAACCAAGTAGCGCTGGTAATTAAAAAAATGCCTCTTGCGGGACCATGATGAAAGAGACCATGATTTAGTAATGGCATCATCATGTTACAAGTAGACTTTATGTTTTTATATGTACATATTGTTCATCGTTTGTTTTGGATCAATGTATCAAAACATACCATCATTGATCATGATATATAGCTCGAAAAATGTGACATAAGCCGTACAATTAAACATTAATGTCATTTTCATTTACATAAGTTATCAAACAAATTTCTCGCGCCCTTAAAGATGTTGTCCGTTAGTCGTTTTCAATTTGTTCAGTGAGCCATTTTGACAATTACAATGAAAAAAAATAAAGCAAGACATATTTAGGGGTGCGTAGCGCCCGTGATTGAAAAAATGCCTCTCGCACGCACGTGAGTGCGTGCAGAGAGGCTAGTACTTATAATGCACAAAATAACGATGCATTATAAAATATTCAGTATAATCGTCTAACTAAGACAATTCTCGCAACAAATAATACCAAATATAAGTCTTATTTGGATGTGCTTTAAACTAACTGAAAACGCTTTTGATGAAATTGACTTTGGGTTCCAAAAGCATTTGAAGTATTTTTGGAAGAAGTACCTTATTACATGAAGCACTTAAAATGTTTTTTTTTTTATAAAGGAAAACTAATGAAAAGGGCTTGAAAACTTTGAGTTTTAATGATAAGGACAAAATAAAGGGTAAAGTGAATAGTAACAGGATTGATTTTTTAGTGTAAAAATGTGGTTTTTCATTAAAGTGAACAGTACCGGGTGCTTTTCGTTAAAGTTCCCTTTTTATAATTCACTTGGATGTTTAACAAGTATTGATTTTTAAAATATTTTCACTAAAAACGATTTCAATCATTTTAAAATCACTTTCAGATGAGTCCGCAAACGATGGAATCAATAAACAAGTGCCTACGAACATGGTTGAAATATCATTAACACTCTATTTCCCAACCATATAGTAGCCTCATTTCCTCACGTCATCAATCCCCGCACAGAGAAGGAACAGCACACAGTACAATGATCCTATGAACTATTGGCACACGTGTGGGATGATCCGGCGGGGCCCCGTCCGAGCTGGCGACACATCTCCTGCTTGGTTTAACCAGTCAAAGACAGGGACAGCTGAAATCGAAAGGGAAAAATGGAAGTTACGAGGAAGATTGCCGGAAAATGGAAAACAATTCGTGGAAAAAAGCCAGAGGGTTTGATTAGGGCATGGTGGGGGCCCAGGTGGCAGTTGGGTACTTGCAGTCTCGGACAAGCGACGACGGAATCATATTTTCAACGCCGTGAGCTGCGGTTGCGGTTTAAAGACTCTTGACTCCAGGTTTTCTACGTAATTTTATTTTTCTCTGTTTTGTAAGCATGACGTTTATTTTTGTTTGAAAACTTTGAGTTTTATCAAAATTGACTTTTTAGTGTTAAAATATAGTTTTTCGTTAAAGTGAACAGTACCGAGAGCTTTTCGTTAAAGTTCTTTTTTTTTTACAGCTAAAAAATAAATAAATAAAATTGTTCCATTTGGTGATATATTTACAATTTAATAAATAAATAAATCTGGCATAGGCAAAATGTCACAGCCCGTCCCAATTTATAATACTCGGGATTGTGAAAAGACGAAATTGCCCTTAAACGGGATTAAGGTGCGTCACTTTGGCATTGGTTTTTACATAATTTCCCTATACTATTGTTAACTGGGATATTATATAGGGTTACAAACTTAAATTTGGACTTAGGTTTAAGTTTGTATGTTAAAAGGTTGTATTATGGATTTAAAAAGACCACGTGGATCCCATATTCCCCAATTATTTCCCTAAAACCCGTAACCCACTCTCTCTCTTTATCTCTCTTCCCTCACGACTCTCTCTCACTCTCAGTTCTCTCTCTCTTCCTCTCCGACGCTCAACCTCACCCAAAACCACCTAAAACATAAACAAACGTCCAAGATAAGACCACATTTGGACTCCTGGAACTTCCACGATCACGTAGACATCAATTTCAGGTAAGTTTTGCTTCGGAAAACCCTAGTTTCAAAGTTCCCGTGAAATGGTATTGTTCATGATCTTCTAAATGACTACGTTTTAGGCTAAAACAAGATCACAGCGAGCTTAGTGAGGTCCCAAGGAAGCTCGGAGTGCTTCGTTGGAAGTTTTTGGACGTAAGAACACGGAGATCGACAAGTTCAAAGTTTGGCCGGAGCTTTCGAGGCATTTTCCGGCGAATCCCCGGCGAGTTAGGAGTCGAGGTAGGTATCAATCCCTTCGTCTCGTCAAATACTACAACTTTCCTTTTTTTTCACTCAATTTCGTTGAGTATTGAAGAAGTTATACTCATTTGAAAAATACCCAGTTTCCGGCGACCTCCGAGGCTTTCGAGGCCGTTTCCGGCCAAACCACGGCGAACTAGGTGTTGTACAAGGTACCATTCTCTTTGTCTCTTCAAGGGCTACAACTTTCGTTTTTGAATCACTTGATTTCGTTGAGAAATGACAAAGTTATGGCAATTTGAAAAACGGCCGCCGGAAAAACCAGTCCGGCGACCCAAGGAAGAAGAAGGTGCGCGTGGGGGCGCGTAGGTCCGTGCCTTCCTTGGCGCGTGGGGGCGCGTGCTACAGTAAAAAAATATTTTAAAAATATGTCGACGTCCGTGACGTCGAGTAGATCACTGTGGTATATTCATATACCCAATTTGAGCACCGTATGAGAAAGTTATTAAGGATTGTTGGTTAGGTGTTCGAATAACGTTTTATAGTTTTGGTGAAAATGTGAATTGATGATCCGACCGTTGGATCGTCACCAAAATTTGATACTTTGTAATACGTAATATTTGAGGATTATAGGAACTTACAGATTGGGAATCCGATTTGCGGATCTCCGAAATTGGAGTTGTAAGTCCATAATATAGAATGTTAACCGTCACTTAGTTTTGGAAATTGACGGAGATCCAACCGTTGGATGGTAATGAAATTTTAGGATGTTATCCTAGAGATATATTGTGGACCTCTGGAAGTTATGGATTTAAAATCTGAGTGGCAGATCTTCCGGATCGAACTACGTAGTGACGTATTTTATATAAGTTATATATTCTATCGATATGAATTCTGAGGTTGGATTTGATTACTATTCTAGGCGGCGATCGTCGTGACGCCTTGATGTGTGGTGCTAGGGAGTTGTTGGACGAACTCCAGGTGAGTGGGCAGTTTTGTTTTCCGTATATATATATACTTGACGTTTCCCAGAAATTGAATTGAAATGAAAATATGTTTAAAATGAAATGCATATGAGTTATGTGGAAAAACGGGAAGTGAAATACCATGCATAGAATTGATATGAAAAGTATATAGAAATGTGAGTTGAAATGCCATGCATGAATTAATATATGATGCATATGTATGAATTGGTGCGGTGGACGCACAGGTAAGAATTGATTTATGATGCATATGTATGAAATGGTGCGGTGGACGCACAGGTGAGTATTTATTTCTGTTATGATGATGTTGATGTATATTGAGCTCAAATCCTGAACCATAGTTTAGTGCTTATAGTATTCACCGCATCGCACGCTCGCCTTGGATCCAAGTAGATACTAGTCGTACAGTCCACGCGGAGTGGGTACGACAGGCCAGTCGCGAGAGTGTTAGTGAGATTCCGACTGGTGGGTGACCTTAGATTATGTGCACAGATGATTTATGAGAAGCACTAGAGCGTAACTTATGTGCAGAAGGCCGGACAGGTCACGCGGAGTGACTCCGGCAGAGTGTGAGAGTGATAGATTTTGAGCTCTAGGTTCAACCGTACAGGGCTATTAGAGGGCCTCCGGTTGATTACTTTCTTGCACCTGATATGATTATTGCTGATGCATCCATACTTAACTGTTGAATTAGACATGACATGGCATGATTGATAAAGAAAAAATGTTGAGTTAATGAATTAAAGTATTGAGAATATATATGTATATTTATATTTTACATTTCTGGGAAAGTATACAGGTTTTACGGAGAGGGGTTACAACGTTTTGAGAAATGTTTGGATTTGGAAAAGAATTGTTTTACTGACCCACTCAATTTTGGTTTTGCGCCCCTCCAGGTTCATGAATCACAAAGGTGTGGTGACTACGAGGAATTTGACGGTGTTCTGACAGATTGGACAAAATTAGGACTCACCTTCGGGTGTATCAACTTATAAATTGTATCTTAAAGCTTCCGTACTGTGCAAATGGTTACGTCACTCTCACGTGACGGCCAGCATGCCCTCCTTCGGGACGGGGTGTGTCACAAAACTAGGAGTCTCTTTTTTTGTTTTCGTGTTCTAAATAAGACCATGAGATGTTAAATTAAGTTATGAAAACGCTTGATTTGACTCACTATATTATATTATGAAACGTTATGAGAAAATAAAGTATTTACGATATATATAATGTTAGCTTACGTTGTTTAGTAGGATGTTAAATCTTGAAATTTGGTAATGATTATGGGGAGGTTGTCTGGAAATTGGTTCAAAATTGAAAGGTGATCAAACAGTGGCCCAGAATAAATGAAAAGTGTTTGAAATTGCATGGCGTTTAATTAAAACCAATAAAGTCCATTAGAAAGTCACACTAATTAAAAACATATTGCGTGACTTGACAGAAATATACAATAGCTTTCAAAAGTATAAATTCGGTACGACTGCATGCTATATACTATACAGTGCCCTTTTATGACACGAAAGGTTACATCTAAAGTGCACCAAACAAGTGCAAAACATGTCCCCAAATGGCACCTTCGTCCACACCTCCCGGCTAAATGCAACAAACGAGTCGAATAACCGCCCGCCTCTTCTGCTCATCTTAGCTCAACGACGACCTCATTTCGGTTAGGATAATACTATGGAGATTGAATTTGTAGATAAAATTTTGTAAACTAAATAACATAGAAGTTGATGATTGAATTATTAAGTGTTGATTAATGTGCTGATTTCTTATTTGTGACATAACATTTAGTTTGCAAATTTGGTTTACAAATTTAGTCTGCCTATATCATTATTCTTCCGATTAATTCCACTACAATCCCACCGCTACATGCACGGCACTCCAATGAAGCTTCGTGACGAGAGGTCAGGCTGCAGCTGTGACCTCATTATCTTAAATGGGTTAACAGAGGTTAAATGACTAATTTAGTCTCTTGCATATTGAGGGAGACTTAACAAAAAATTCAATTTCAATTTAATGCATATTGAGGGAGACTTAACAAAAAATTCAATTTCAATTTGAGGGAGGCAAAAAGTTCAATTTCAATTTAATGCATATTGAGGGAGGCTTAACAAAAAATTCAATTTCAATTTAATGCTTATTGAGGGAGACTTAACAAAAAATTCAATTTCAATTTAATGCTTATTGAGGGAGACTTAACAAAAAAATTCAATTTCAATTTAATGCATATTGAGGGAGGCTTAACAAAAAATTCAATTTCAATTTAATGCATAACAAATTTTACCTCAAAGATTTATTTCCTAATTTTTTACTACGGAATCTAATTTTTAAATACTTCAGACCAACTCCAACCCTAGGCTAAAAGTCAAATTTTTAGCCCAAAATTCCCCCCAAACACCCTCCAACCCAAGCTAAAATATTGGGCTAAAGGGGGAATGCTAAAGTTGGGCCAAATTCCCCCCCCCCCAACCGCGTGGACTCGCCCAGTTTTGGGCCACTCTTGGCCCGTGGACTTGCGCACGCGCCCCACGCCCCCAACTTGAATTGTTGTAGATCTGGTAATAATTACTGTACTCAGTTCTGTGGTGTATGGATCTGTCATTTAACTGTGCTTCTCCTCCATGCATCGCAAAACTGAGCTGCAGAAAATTAACTGCTCAAAATTATGTCTCTGTGCTGGATCTGCAACAATCTCCCCCAAACTTGCATCTGTGAATGACTGTTTGTGTTGACTGCTTAAATTTCCAGCATAGTGTAGATGTGGTTGATGTAACGGTAGACTTGCTGCTGGGTGCAGGATTCCAGCTTAGGACGCGCTTTATTTTCCACGTTCGCAACCTGCAATTAACCAAGATGCGTATATTAAAAACGGAGCTAAAATCAACTGCGTGAATAAAGAAAAAAAAAATTTGGATTTTTCACGTTTATTTTTATTTTTTATTTTTTTAATAAAACTTAGGTATGGAAATGCATCTAGAAAAAAAAAATCAAATGAAAAATAAAATAAGGAAAGAATTTAGAAAAATTGGGTTGCCTCCCAACAAGCGCTTTATTTTAAGTCTGTAGCTAGACGTTGCAGAACTCCGATGGCTAGATCACTGGTTCATTCAGAGTTGATGACTCACCTACACCATGTTTCTCTATGCATGGTTTTAGTTGATGTTTGGTAACCTTCAATGAGAAATTTGTGCCCTTAGCCTTAATGTCCACATTACCATTCTGAAAAACTTTAGTAACTAGAAAAGGGCCTTTCCATCAAGACTCTTGTTTCCCTGGAAATGACTTGAAATCTGAACTTAATAACCATACTTTTTTACCAGGCTGTATTTTCTTAAAATTTGGGCTGCTTGGCAAATTTTCATGTTTTTTCATAGTGTTAATTGGCTGGTCATCATGTAGCACCCTTTGCTGCTGTGGTTTAGGACTTGTACAATCACGAGTTAAATTCGGGGGCTTTATGGACGAATGATCAGTTGATGATCTGTTCATAAACTTGGCACTTGGTAAACCATCCAATGCATCAACACGCATGCATTCTTGCTTGTCACCTGAATGTACGCTTGCTTTAAACAACTTGAAAACAACAATTTGATCTTCAACCCGGAATGTTAATGTTCCGGCTTCAACGTCAATAAGAGTCCGGGTTGTTTGCCAGAAATGGGCGTCCCAAAATAATAGGCGTTGTCAAATCCTTATCCATGTCCAACACCATAAAATCAGCCGGTAAATATAAATTGTCAACCTTCACAATAACATCTTCAATGACTCCTCTAGGGTAGGTAATTGAACGGTCAGCCAATTGAATAATACTGGAGGTTGGCTTCAGCTCACCTTCACCTAAACGTTTGAAAACAGAATAAGGCATTAAGTTTACACTAGCACCTAAATCAATTAAAGCACTACTAAAGTCACAATTTCCAATGGTGTAAGAGATAGTAAAACTCCCTGGATCTTTTTTCTTTGGAGGTAATTTATGCAATAAGACCGCACTGCACTGTTCTGTTAGAATCACTTTTTCGGAATCCACAAGCTTCTTTTTCTTTGTACAAACGTCCTTAAAAAACTTGGCATAAGATGGAATGTTCTTGATTGCATCAATTAATGGAAGATTAATTTGAACTTTAGCCAACGTTTTCATGAAATCTGTCAACTGTTGATCTTTAACTTTAGGCTTCAACCTTTCTGGATAAGGAATAGGAGGCTCATAAACACGTTCTGCAGTTTTTGTGGTAGCTTTTGCAGTATTTTCGGATTTGTCTTGGGACTGACCAGAATTTGCAGAATTTTAAGAATCTGCAAAAATTGCAGATTTAGTTTGGGGCTGTTCTGCTACCTGCGAATTTCCAACAGAATTTTCATGTCTGTTGTAACTTTTGCCAGACCGTAGAGTTCGTATAGCATTGCATTCTTCTTGTCCTCTTAGATTAGGTACTGTTTGACTAGGAAATGTACCCGGAGCTCTTTCTGAAACCTGCACAGCAATCTGCCCAATTTGTTTTTCCATATTTTTCATTGATGCATGCAGATTTTGGATTTCGTGAGTGGTAGTATTTGCTAATTTTTCAATTGCAACCTCCCAAGCTGCCTTAGGTGCAGCAGGTTGATGTACCTGCTGTTGAAATTGAGGCCTTGAGTGCAGATCTTTGTCCCACTTTAAATTAGGATGATCTCTCCAACCTGGGTTGTAGAAATTTGAATACGGGTCATATCTGGGACGTTGAAAATTATTAAATGAATTAACCTGCTCCGCTATAAACTTCGAATAAGCATCTTTATGTGGACAGTTCAAAAAATCATGATTTGTCAAGCTGCAAATGCTGCAGGCAGCTTGTAAAGGCTGCTGTACAGCAACCTGTGAATCTGAAATTCTTTGTAATAACATGTCAAATTTTGCATCAAATCTTTCAAGCTTTTTCTCCATTTTTTCAATTTGTGCCGACACGTATGGTGAACCATTTGACATCTCAAAAACGGATCTAGATTGTGGCTGCTCAGCTGCCCATTGTTGTGTATCTGCTGCCATTTTTTTCAAATAATAAACAAGCCTTTTGTGCATTTTTATCTTTGTACGAACCTCCGCATGAAGCGTTGACAAGAGTTTTTGTAGTCACATTTAACCATCTGAAAAATATATGCAATTGATCAGTAGTGTTAATACCCGAATGTGGACATTTTCTAATCAACTCTTTGAACTGCTCCCACGCCTCATGAAACTCTTCATTTGGCTTTTGGGCAAATGATAAAATCTGAGTTCTCATGTCAAGAGTCTTCGAAGCTGGATAATACTTGTTTAAAAAATTTTCACTGAGTTGGGCCCAAGTTGTAATGCTTCCAGATGGGAGTGTGAGAAGCCATCTCCTTGCTTGATCTTTTAGAGTGTATGGAAATAAACGAAGCTTAATAGATTCGGCTGAAAATCCCCTCACCAAAATATTTTTGCACCCCATTAAAAATTCTGCAATGTGCATGTTAGGATCATCAGATGATAACCCATGAAACATAGGTAGAATATTCAACATGTGCTATTTTATTTCAAATGCAGACCTTTCCTCCACTGCCGGATTAGTAATGCAACTTGGTATATTTGTGGTATGGGCTGTCAATGAATCTCCGAGGGGCAGACCAGCTTCTGGAATTACAAATGCCATTTTTTCTTTGCTGTGCAGGTCTTCAGAATTTAAAGATTGTAGACAAGTTACCTACTGAGGAGGAACCCTCTGCAAAGTTCGCTCCCTGCGTTTCCTCCTTAAATTCAGCTCAAGTTCTGGATCAAATGGAATCAATTTCTGCACTGTTGAACGGGTGCTGACCATGCACAGATTTATGAAATCTGCACTGTTGTACTGTTGTAAACTGTAAAAATAAAATAAAAACGAAAATTAAAATTTTTTTTATATGTATAAACAGCAATAACTAATTGAAAATATGATTCGTAGGGATTATTTTAAATAATCCCCGGCAACGGCGCCATTTTCTTGATAGGATTTTCACTACTCATGTGAACGGGCTTAAATCTCCTATTTTACTTGCAAGAATCACAAGATTATTGTAGTATAAACGGATCTCGCAAGGTCGTCTCCACAGGGATTATTAAATAATTCGAAATTAATCAGATTCCATTTAATTATTGTAAAGTAGAAGTTCAGGTGATTGATTTTATAACCTAATTAAAATAAAAATGAAATTAAAGAATTAAAATAAACAATCTTCAATATTAGAGCTAGAGAAAAAAAAAAACAGTTTTGGGAGAATCAAATTAAGAAAGCACTGGGTTCCACCATCACCTAGCAATCCTATGAATTTTTACCCATTACTTATGATCTATACATGTCACTTTGAAGGTTAGATTTTCCTAATTCATATTGTACTTGGAACCTCCAACATAGAACGTATATCTAACATGCAACCCGTCCGGACGTTCGGATCAAATCTGAACATGAAAGACTCATTATGCTTTATGAAAAATCCTTTGAAAAACCATGCAATCCTTAAGACGTGATATTCATCCTAAGTGAAATTACAATTATTAATCATAAGAAGCCAGCGTCAATTTCAGGGAACCTTCCGACCAAAATTGCATCAAATTACTTTTCTAAAGATCCTAATGGTGATCAGGCATTAAGACAATTAGATAGTTTTTATCCTGGAGATTAACAATTCAAAGTATGCATGCAATCAATCATAAGCAATTAACTAAAAATCACATATTCATGCTGAGGCTCAAGGCTTCGCCCTAGCAAAAGAAATTAGTTCCGCATATTCATAATTGAAATCATAGAAAATATTATTAAGAAAAGGATTGAAAACACCTTCAAGTAGAAAATCTCCAAAACCCTAGCCCTTCTCTCTGTCTCCAAAAATTGCATAAAATAGAGCGTCCTCAAATATGGTAGACGACCAAGCAATATATCTGCTAAGCCCCCACACAAACCCTAGGAAACTAAAATTAATTCCAATAAAATAGGAAACATAACCCTAATTTAAATGGTAAAATTCGTCTAAAATCTGAACAGCCACGTTTTGGACCCATAATCTGCTCCAAAACTGGCCCAATATAGCTGGATTTAATGTTTGGAATATTCTGAACACTTCTTCAGAAGGCCACGAACCCATCCGAGGTCATTTTGGGCTCCAAAAACGCAATTTAAGCCCAAAAACGTCATTTTCCAGCACTGCGCACTGCTTCTTTCTTTTATCGCCAGAAAATAACCGCTTGATGGAAAAAATCCCAAATTTTGATAACGATTAAGCTAAGTGACTCATGAACGTCCTCCAACTAGAATCACTCCAAAATTCGTCCATTTGATCCTATTTTGCTCCAGAGGAAGTCGAAAGTCCTATATTGAAAATACAATTCAAAGTATCAAAATTCTTCCAATATATTAACCAAAATATACTAAGCTTAGGGTAAAATATATAATATAAAATCTACTCAACAGGCTCGCTCCTCAATACATGAATGATGGGCTAGAGTTGATGCTCGCGGCGAGGCGGTTGCTTAGCTGGCGGCGATGCTCTTCTAATGATGGTGAGGAAGTCTCTTTTATAAAATAAGGGCTTGCTCGTCAGTACATAAATGATGGGTTAGGAGTGATGCTCGCGGCGAGGCGGTTGCTCAGCTGGTGGTGTTGCTCTCTAATGAAGGTGAGGGAGTCCCTTTTTATAAAATAAGGGTTCGCTCCTCAATACATAAGTGATGGGTTAGGAGTGATGCTCGCGGCGAGGCGGTTGCTCAGCTGGTGGCGTTGCTCTCTAATGAAGGTGAGGGAGTCCCTTTTTATAAAATAAGGGTTCGCTCCTCAATACATAAGTGATGAACTAGGAGTTATGCTCGCGGCGAGGCGGTTGCTCAGCTGGCGGCGTTGCTCTCTAATGAAGGTGAGGAAGTCCCTTTTATAGAATAAGGGCTTGCTCCTCAATACATAAGTGATGGGCTAGGAGTGATGCTAGCGGCGAGGCGGTTGCTCAGCTGGCAGCGTTTCTCTCTAATGAAGGTGAGGGAGTCCCTTTTATAAAATAAGGGTTTGCTCTTCAGTACATGAATAATGAGTGCTTTCTAATGAAAGTGAGGGAGTCCCTTTTATAGAATAAGGGCTCGCTCCTTAATACATAAATAATGGGCTAAGTCCCTCAAGTATTTTTCATGAGGCCCAGTTGAGGCCCAATATATGGTACATAATGTAGTCCCCCAAGTCTTCGGAGGCAATATTTTTCTACCTTGCACTAAAGCTTTGTAGGTGAAGCTTTGCAAGTGAAACTTTAAAGCTGGAACTCTGTAAATGAAGTTTTCGAAGTTGATGCTTTTGTAAGTTAAGCTTTTGAAGCTAATTGACATGAGTGATGCTCATGAATGTTTATGTTGATTGACATGAGTGATGCTCATGGATGTTGACATGAGTGATGCTCATGAATGTTTATGTATGATTGGATGAGTGATGCTCATGAATGTTTATGTATGATTGACATGAGTAATGCTCAGATTTCTTTTGTAAAACTTTGATCTGATTTGTTTTCTGGGAATTGGGCTCCTTTTATACAGACTCCACCCCTTAAAATGCTAGCTAGCATATTTAACACTCCTTACTAATGAAAACTAAGTGATAAAACCTTCAATTAACTCTCTAAATCACCAATTAAGACAATCACAATTGAGACCTATTTTGGGTTCATAACAAAGTGAGTGCCCAAGGGTTCCGGCATAGGTGAAGAGACGTGCATCCCCCGATTTGTGTACCACCTTGATTACAAAATAAAGCTAATGTTGGAGCAATATTAGAAAATATGAAAATAACAATATAATTCCAATAATAATAATAATAAAGGAAATTAACAACATCTAGTATACAAGATTAATATAAACAACTAGAGATAGAGTTAGAAAACTGACAAACTTAGAGATTGAGGTTTGCATAAATGCAATGTCCTAAAGATAGAATTTCGCCCCTACTCTTGTGCTTGTAGTTCGATAGGCGTCCATCTCCCAGAATTCAACAATCTATAATCCGAAGTCAAAGCACTTCAATCTTCGGACTCTGGTGAACTTTATATATTTCGTACTCTCAAGACACGACTCAGAATTTGACACATGGATCATTTGAGAAACAAAGTAGGGAAACCCTATTTCTCAAGAGTAAAAATTAACTCTAATTTTCAATCTTTAATACCAATGGTTTCATGGGTTTATATATGAACGAAATTTTGTGAAAAACATGTTCATTTGAGCAACATCTATAACATGCAATTAACAAATTAAAGGCGGAATCATGCTTGCATGCACTCAAAACAAAACATTACCCATGAAATTCAAAGCCTAGTAGTTAGGTGAACCAAGACTCAACTCAAAAGAAAGTGAGTTGAGAAATTTATACCTTTGTAGATTCCTCTTTGCAAAAGCAAATGATAATCACCCAAGAGATAGGGCCTTTATTCCTTGCTTCTTAGATCCATGGATTTGGATGGAAGAATAGGTTTCTCCAAGTTCCCAAAATTGAGAACCTCTAAGTCTCCACACCAAGGTAAGATGTGAAGAAGAGATGAGTGAACTTGGAGGAGAAAGATTACTAGCTAATCCCTCCAAGGGTGGCCGGCCTCTTTAGAGAGAAAGGAGAGCTTTGTGTTCTCTCCAATTTCCTCAAAAAACCCTAAATGAATTTTGGCTATAAAGTCATATTTATACCTTTATTCATTGGAGTGGCAAACTTGTAATTAAAGCAAGTTCACTACCCTTCCTCTAAATGGCCGGCCTTAGGGTATTATTGGGCTATTTTGGCCTTTGTGAATCATTATTCATTAAGTTGTCATACAACTTAAGTCAATGGGACTTGACGTTCAAAGCCCATTGGGCCTTAAGGTCCAAATACTATCCCGAGGTCTTTAACGAACTTATTCGTTTGATTAATTAACATATTAATTAATCCTTGCCATAAATAATTAAACCATTTAATTATTCTTACTCATATCCGTTGTTTCTTCAATCTCTACCTTACACGGTGTACGATCCATTAGGTTCCTTTTTAGCGAGGCAGTGGGCGATTAAAACTCTTTCAAATCGATTGTGAATTGAAACTTACTTTCAATTCTCCCTTTAGTGTTTTATACACGTTTAGGGCTTCCACAAACCATGAGTGACACCTAGCAGCATATCATGGTTACCCAAGCTTAATCAGAAGAGGTGGAGAACCTATTCAGTTTAGGATTACAAATGCAATACGGTCTTTCTCTAATACAATACTCTCTTGACCACATTGTTTGGTTTGATAGTTTATTCATGTCTACTATCCAATGTGATTCATTTGCTTATATGATTATCCTTGAATGTGATTTGGAACGACTTCCTAAATCTCATTCATACTCTGGCCAGAGATTCTTAATCATATCATAGAGTATTCTCCCTTAAACAGTTTGAAGGTTAGAGATCCCTTGTTGCGCATTCACTTGCCTCCATGGCTAAGTGGCTTAACCCCAACTATGCCGTGGACACCCGCGAATGGAGTGACTTTGACATAATCAAAGATCAAGGACCTAACCACAAGACAACTATGATGCCTCAGGTCAAAGGACTACTTTGCATTATCCCAACCATGAGTTCTCATGTGACATGAGTATGAGAACTCTTCGTTGATCGTGTTCAGTGAACTCATTCCTTATTGAGCACCTACGTACTTGTCTTGGTGTCAGTCACACCAATGACTCGAGACTAGTCACTCTCACTAAGAGAAGACATAGCACATGCTGATCTTAACGGATTGTCAATGCCCAATTGGCAATCCTATGATCATGAACGTTTAGGATATGTATACGAAAGAGAATGGTCTCATGAATCTAACTTCTTTAAATTACATTCTCCTAATTACATATTCCTTGGACTCATCGTTTAAGCATATAACATTTATATGAGACGGCTTAAAACAATAATCATGCCCTTGATATTAAACTAGATTAGTTTAACATGTGAAATGTCCGTAAAGTATCATCATATGATTGGTTTTAGGGCACATTTCCAACAATATAGAATCCAACTTCAACTTATTAAAGAGATGTAACTTTTCATCTATAAGTATACATCACTTATCAAGGGAATATCACCTAAACAACATAACCTTTCTAAGAAATTGATTAACACTTTTTTTCATTTAATTATTAAAATTATATATTACAATATTTCATATTATAATATATAATTTCCAACAATCCCCCACATGAATGAAAAATTAGGAAGAATTTGAGAGTACAGGCGGACAAGAGATGCATCGGGAAAGGTGTCTTTTGGACTTGAATCTACCCTAGTGAATACTTATCGGATTTACTTGGTGATGCAGTGAATATAGAATCTTGAACTGTTCACCGCAGCAGTAAACCGAGATAATAAGCAACACACATCACTAATCCTAATATATTACGGTTCATACGGTTGTGTTCATTTTGGTCCTGAATAATTCCCAGATTCATGAGAGCTTTAGAGAATTTAGCCATCTCATACTCATAGAAGCGACCCACTTCTACTCTCACATAAGTGACCACTGATTAAGAATAGTCTGCTCTATTCCTCTTATTTATAAGATATCAATGTCATTAAGTATAAATATACAACCTAAAATTTCTGTAGACAACACACTTCTTCCATCATAGGAATGAGGTATATAGTGTGTTAACTTCTTTGAATCATGCCCAACCAGTTTGCCTATTGAACTTAGACCATGGGATCTCCAATCAACTAAGTTAGGTTTTCGCTCAACTGATTCATTTGTTATGTTGGTTTTAGCCTCATTCCCGTCGATGACCAACTTACTCTCCAGTCTAACCTTTAATAATTGGATCCACTACTAGGTTGACTATTTTTAATGGTGTGCACAATCCATCTCATGAAATTATATTTTATATGAGAGTAGTTGTTTCTCAATTTTAAGTCCTCAAAAGTATATATATGTCGGGACTTTTCTAAGTAATTTTCCTATGCTTGGGTAAACTCCCCCCCACATTTAAGGTATACATTGACACGTCTTTAACCTTTCAATACCTTAAAATACCATTGCAAGAGATATTCTTTATCTCTTTCTACAAGCAAATTACTTTTTCATTCTACTTAAGTTGACATATAATCCAAAGATAACTATGTCACTCCCCCACGATTCACTCACATTGTGGTTGCTCTTTAATGCTATCAGTTACTCTTCATGATACTTAAGAAGTATGAACCAGTGAAGATATTTTCTCTTTATCTATCTTCACTTCTAAGCTTCCAAGCCTCACAAGTCCTTTTTATGTCTATCTTCAATTGTTAGGGGTTTGTCTGTAGAACGTACACAGTTTCCATGGTAAGCCTAACCCTACATTGCTTAAACCTTTCAAAGAAGACTTTGGTCCCCACAATTGAAGCGTCATCTTCAAGACGAATAACTCAAACAAAATGAGTTCATGATTTACAATTTAACTACGGACAACATCACTACTGATTGTCACAACATCACGACTAATTGTCACTACTCAAAGTCAAATTTCAATGTCTTACCATGACGAACATGGTTCCTGTGGAGCCAAAAATATTCACAGGGCGACACGTGGATTTTTGGACAAAAATGACAAAAATACCCTTGCAGTACAACGAGGTTCCTACGCGCAAGCAGCGGGCAACCCTCTTTCAACCAAGACAGAAGTGCCCAAAATAGGTAACAATTCAAAGTCCATCTCATCAAATCCTTTCTACAAGGTAATTCCCAAACACATTCCTTTTAAATTATGTTAATTGGCTAATTAATGGGTTTATTGCCTAATTAACCAATTAATTGTCAATTAAACCATCCATTATATCCAAATAACTACAAAATACATCCCATTCAACCCTAAAACACCACATGGCCGGCTATCCCCATTTCAAAACCTAATCCATCACTTTTTTCTACCTTTTTCACCATTTATTCCTTTTTATTACCCAATAAATTCAAAAACCACCAAAACATTCATCTTATGTTTAATAGCCAAATAAATAGGCTAATTAAACCTAAATTAAACCTCAAAACCCTAGCCACCTCCTATCCCTATAAATATACTCCCATTCTCACCAAAAAGCTAATTCCAACACTTTGGCAAAAATCCCAAAATTCTCTAAACACTCATTCTCTCTAAATTCTAACTTTGGCATCGGAGGTTCTTCGGCCAAAGCCCCCCCCATTCATCGTGGGCGCGTGAGGCTCTTGGCCTTAACCTAAGGTGTTAATTGTTTTGTAGGTGCAAAATCGTCCAAGATCGAGGAGGAAGAAATTTGCATCCACAAATTGGTGTTCATTGAGAGTTGAAATCCATACTCGTAGAAGACTCTCGCACAAAAAAGGTTTTTTCTTTATTTTCTAGCCCATTTGAATATTTTTCATACGTTCTTATTACTAGCCTCTCTGCACGCACTAACGTGCGTGCGAGAGGCATTTTTGCATCACGGGCGCTACGCGCCCCTAAATGTGTATTGTGTTAGTTTTTTTCCATTGTAATTGTTAATGTATATGGTATAGAAAGTATGATATGGCTGCACATAACAGGAAGCAATAAATTTGAAGTTGTTGACGTGGATACTCTCTCACACACAGCAGTGCCTATTACAGTGTCCTCACGCGCGTGCGAAAGACACTTTTTTCATCACGGCGCGCTACGCGCGACTTACACATTTTAGATGTATTTATATGCGAGGATTGGTTCAATGTATAGAAACATAAAATAAAGACGATTATCATCTCTAATAATACAGGTAGTAATTTAAAGTATTTATCTAGAATTTGTAAAAAAAAAAAAAGTAATAAATAACATAGAAGATCCTTATAATTTAGTTGCAACTAAAAGCTAAGTAAAAAGTATAAAAACAATCCAAGAACTTCAAATGGCCTTGATACACTTGACGGTTCTTCATATCATGAACTCATATCGCCGTTCTGTTGAAAATTTAATGCGTTCGGTTAGAATCAAAATATTAGCATTATTTGTAATTGAATTGTATTAAAATTTTTTGAAAACGGGAATTAAACATTAAAAGAAAAAAATATAACCTTATGTTGAATTCGAGGGAAGCAAAATATCTTTGTACACAACATTCTTTGTGAAGACTCCTTCATGACCGTGTAATTCTCCTTTCTTTACCAAGACTTTTGTTGTAGACGCTGATACTCCTCTTGATAAAGCCACGTACAATTGTCCATGACTGAATACGTGATCTGGTAGATAAATACCCACATTTGGTATTGTCTGCCCTTGTGATTTATTTATGGTTAGTGCAAAACTCAATTTCACTGGAAACTGTTTTCTTATCATTTCAAATGGGAGTCCAGCGCTTTCTGTGGTCTTTAAAGAGATTCTTGGTAAAAATACTCTAGTTCCAGCAAATTGTCCAGATAAGATTTCGGCATCAATTAGATTATTGTAAGCTCCATGGCAAGCCAGTCTTGTACCATTGCACAACCCCATCTTCGGATCGATATTTCTCAAAAGCATTATTGGGGCACCTTTTTTCAAAGTTAACTGATGAGGGGGCATTCCACCAGGTGAGATTGAATTCAAGAACTCTTGTTGATACAAATTTCTCACATCGTCCTCAACTGAATCGAAAGAGTATAAGATATGTTCAGTCCCTGGAAATTTATCGATGATCATTTTATTAAGCTTGTCAGCATCCTCATTTTTTGGAGTTATAATTGCCCTTTCCACCAAGTATCTTGAATCACATACATGACATTCCAAATCAGGGAAAACTTCATTAACAAATTGGACAATGGATTCTTCACCATTCCATGGAATGACCATAGATGATGGTAATTGCATCATGTCGTCTATCATAGTTTCTTGTTCCCCATTGCCGACATGAAGTAAGAACTCTGAAAAATCTTGATCATTGATGGATCTCATGTTGTGCCTAAGACGAATGATTTTCACATGTCCCCAAAATGAAGCATTAATCATACTTGCTTGCATCAATTCAGACCTTGTACCTTTTGGAACAACTGGAAGAACTTGTCGAAAATCTCCTCCAAAAATCATGACCTTTCCTCCAAATGGCAGGTCAACACCTATTATATCTTTGAACGTTCGATCGAGTGTCTCAAATGCAAACCTGTGTGCCATTGGTGCTTCATCCCAAACAATAGCTGATGTTTTTCTTATCAATTCTGCCAAATCTGACTGGATACTAATAGAACACGTGGAAGATGCATCTGGACTGAGGGGAATTTTAAATCTAGAGTGTGCTGTCCTTCCGCCTGGCAATATGGTTGCTGCAATTCCAGATGTTGCTGTTGCCAGAATAATATGACCTTTGCTCCTTAACGTTGCTAGCAAAGCACAATATAAGTATGTCTTTCCCGTCCCTCCAGCACCATCCACAAAAAATATGGCATTGTCTCGACGTTCAATAGCAGACACAATCGAATTATACGCTACCATTTGGTCTTCATTTAGATTTTGTACCGCATTGAGGTCTGCTTCAGAGATGTCAAGTGAAACTTCATCTTGTATTATCCTTGGAAGTGTGTTGTGTCTAACACAATCTTGTGTTATTTGTGGTAGATCGTAATCAGATACAGACTTACTATGTTGCACTAATAGCCCATTCAAGTCTTGCAAAAGCTTGTTTAAGATAGAAGTATTATTTATGGTACTTGAGACAGAATAATCTTCTACCATAAATGAATGAAATTCATCCCACAATCTTCTTACTCCATGCGGTTCACAGTAAACCAAGATGGTAACAAACAACCTTCGTAAAGCTGGCGGCATTCGAATGTTAGAGGCCTCACGAAGACATTGTGTGATGCTATCATCATCTTCTAGCAAACCTCGTTGTTCCACTGCCTTTTTAAATGTTGGTTGTACAATGTCATTGACTGTTCTTAAATCGTCAAATGATGTTGGTCCTCTAACATGATTAAGAAGGATGCGTAAGTAGAATTTTTCACCCTCATTTGGCGAAACTGCATATATTCGGCCAATAACTTTATGGTTATTCATCCTCTCACTCCAGACTTTATCTCTTTGACTCCATCTGAACCGTTCAGGGAACTCCCGGTATAAGTATCGTCGTGCTTCCGGGCAAGTGGTATTCTTGGTAAAAAACTCTGTCAACATAGTCATCGAGTTTGTGTCATCTGCTAAAATATCTGATACTCTTTGGTGAGGGTAAAAATGAACAGTTTGTCCTTCAGGGAGATGAATTTGTAATCGTTCCACCGATGGATAAAGTCGATTAGTTACAAATTTGAATATTCTCCATAAAGCTTCAGGTGCACAAACCCATCTTGCATCAACAAACTGCTTTATTTCATCTTGAATAGGTTCAGGATGGACTTCAAAAGCTACTTGGTCAGGACCTTTATAAACATATTTGTACAGATACTTAACACTCTTAATGCTGCAACAAATCTCAACATTAATATGACAATCATATCTGAGGAGTAACCATGAGTTATACGGAATGACCCACCGATTATCCACCATTATACGTGCATTTTGATCTAATGGGACTGGATTATGATTGTCTCTTCTACGATAGACTGGATAAGAATCATTTCCTTGAACTGTAGTTGGTGCAAATGGCTTAGGATAATTTCGTTTACAACTACCACGTTTCATACAGGGTGATCGTGAATTGTGTATTCCACATGGACCATGTATCATATTCCTTAACACGGCACCATACAATTCAGGCTCTTCATTTGGAATTGGTATTTCAGCACGTACCATCTGATCATAATCATCTGGACTATTAAGCTTATCATTTTCTTCTAACATGAGAAGCATGTGAACATGGGGGAGACCGCGCTTTTGAAACTCAATGACATATACATACGCAAGAACTCTGCCTAAAACACTTTTTTTATAACATCATTCTTCAACTGTTCGAATTTTGCACGAAAAACCCTTGTAAGCAAATCTGGTCGATCTTGTGGTGCTTGGCCAGGTAGTAGCTCATCACTTATTTCTTCCCAATTTGGATTACATGTCATTGTTAGGAAAATATCTGGTCTTCCATATTTTTGCACCAAAGTCATTGCATCTTGATACCTTTGATACATGTCACGGGGACTACCAACAAAAGATGATGGTAATATAGTCCTACGACGACCAATGTTTCCTGTATTTGTTTTTGTTAAAAGTCGTTAATAAGTCTAAATATGTTTGTTTTGTTTTCAACCCATTAATAAGTCTCATTTAATGTGACAAAACATGAACATGAAGAATATATTTTTTTTATTATAAAATGATTAGCCTTATACCTGCATTATTTTGTCCTGCAATTAATGAGTCTTGTAGTCCTCGATAAAATTCAGATCGAATTGTGTGTTGATTATCACGCATCCATCTAAGCTTTTGTGATTCGATCTTTACGTAGTTGTCAACTACATATTGCTGCAATAGGCGGCCACCACGAAGTAGAAGCGATTCATCATGTTGACGGATCTAAAATGATAAAATTCATTGTTCAACACAATATAAGTTTTAAAAATTAATATTTATTGACAAAGATGAAGGTCTTAGGTTACCTGAAAAACATACGAATAATAGTCACAGCATGTCACTTTTCTGTTGGTATTATTTCGAGTATTCACATCCCATCCGTACGTTCCTTAAGGTAACAACAATGGATATTGTAAAGGGTCATAGTAGCCGACACAATCTTTGATACTCTTAAGTTGACCATCCGTAGTTTGCACAACAATATCTCGACCTCTAATGTTTTCTGATCCTTCACCACCTACTATGATTGCAGCAACCTGAGATGCATACGGTAGACAATATTGTCGTTGATTCGCGGGCTGCTCCTTGATAATCAATCTACAACTTTGCAAATCTTGACGTTGTGCAAGGTGGTGAAATGTTTGCACAAATGGATTATATTGATTCAAGATTTGTTGGATTTTTTCAACCACATCTCTGTTTAGTGCTTCACTTTCTCTCATCCGATTGTCTATTTCATGAGCAGTGTCATATATATACATTTGTAGGAATCTTGGTCTACTATCTCCAATAGGCAAGAGACTTCCAATCTTATGGTATATGGAACCTTGAGCACGAAATGTGTAAATACCACGTCTTCCTGTTGCTAGGTTTTCGTCAACATGAACTCCCATTGATGTGAAGGCAAAAATGTGGTTGTAAGCTCGTATATTCTGCCTAAAATGTCTTCCCTGGGCAGATTGGTTGCAAAAAAGCTCAGTCATTTCAGGAGGGGATGGTGTCAATGGTAGAGCAAGCTTTCCACGTAAGCAACACATTTCAAATGTTTCATGAGAGAACAAACGGGCATGACAATCTGGACATGTGGTTGGATTTGGCATGTGAAATCTTGGGATTCCCATGTTTTCATTGAAGTTTCTAGCACAATTATGAATTGGCCTTGTTCCCATCGTATGCTGTCGAGGTGGTACGTCCTCGTTAGGCTGGATCTCATTTTCATTAATGAGATTAAAATCATCTGCTTCAAAAGGAAACATTAAAAAGTGTTTTATGATTTAGAGAGCATAGTTAAAATTGTAGGTATTAATATTCCAAAACCGATACCTTCATTGATGATGGGTGGATAAGAATGATTCATTGGAGTATTCGAACGGAATGATTGCCTTGTTGTGTTTTCTGTATTAATGAAATGGAATAGAAGTAAGGTAATAAGTGGTGTTTACAATAATGATGATATTGATATTTATCTTTTTCAAAGTTGTAGTATGGTAGTTTGTGCGATTACCACTATTAGTTAAACTTTGAATAAGTCCATCCTGAGGCAAGCGTGCCCTATTCGATCGAGCAATTTGCCTTATATGAGTTAAGCGCATTGTTCTTGGAACTTGATTGCTGCTGCCTTCTCCAAACGGCACTATGTTGAGTCGTTCAACATGATTGCTACTGCCTTCATCGAATTGCACTATGTTAGGGTGTTGAACTTGATCGGTATTGCCACCAAATAACATTATGTTTGAGCATTGAATTTGTTGATCACGATAATTGGATCGTCGTTGTGCTAAGTAATCGTGCCTTTGCCTTGAACTCATTGAATTCTGCATCATACGTTGTTGATCCCGCCATTGCTCTCGTTGGCTTTGTCTCTCATTAGTAACATATGCATCTTGTTGCTCTAAACCAAGAAACGTAATGATGCACGAAAAATATTAGTAAGTATATAATATTATTTAAGTACCTACATACTTATTTTTTTTCCTTTTGTTTTTGTAATTGAATCAGTGGTATACATTACGTTTTTTTTCTTCGTTTGATTGGAAAATAAAAATAAAAAAAAGTTTACGGTAGACTTAGTTTATTATTATTTTTCCTTTTGTTTTTGTAATTGAATTAGTGGTATACATTACGTTTTTTTTCTTCGTTTGATTGGAAAATAAAAATAAAAATAAAGTTTACGTAGACTTAGTTTATTAAAGAGTAAATACAATAATAGTGGTAAAATAAAATTAGTTTAAAGTAGACAATTTAGCACATAGTGTCACGGGAAGAGAGGAGGAGGACAAAGGAATGGTTTCTAACTTATAGAACTATTTTGTTTTATCCCCATGTCGTGAATCAACCATTGGGGGTCTAGTGTTGTTATAGAACTAATAATATGATATGTTTTCCCTTGATTATTATAGTTGAACTTTTATTCCATGTTTACATTAAAAATTTATCACTTACCGTTCCAGACATATTCCTTTCCTTATTATTATTATTATTTTTGGAGTACTTGTTAAAACGTTGGTCACTGTGGTAAATATATACAATCCAAATGTTGGAATTGTTATAGACATAACAGAATTATTAAATGGATGTTTCCATTGATAGTACGAAAGGCAATGACAATGTAAAATAACTAATCGTTCAATCTTAATGGATGTGTCTTAATAATTTGTACAAAAAATATTCATACAACATATGGATTTACAAATATATATATAATTAATAGAGACAAAAAAAAATATAGTTACCCGCTGATGTTGGTCCTATGTCATCTTGGTTTACTTCCGTTTGATTTTGTACTATATTTACCGAGTTCAATCGGGCTTGATAATTAGCACGTCGTCGCAGTGAAATTCATAGATTGTCGTCTTTGCCTTTGTTGATTGCTCCTACGATACCTTTGGTTTGACTGTTGAGAATTGTGAACATTTGTTTGTCCGAAGTGAACTTCTTCATTGCCGACCTACATTGAGAAATTGCCAAAAAGAATGAATTTTATTTTATTTTTGAAAAAGAAAAAATAAATCATCTCTACATTAGAGGAATAATGCAGAAAAGGTAAGAACCTCTGACATATTGGTTCTATCATTTCCCTCCATACTTGATATGTTGAAGTCCTTTGGGAATCTTAAAAGTGAATACGTCTCCTGTCACACAAAAACTCCCTAGACTAAGAAGCAGTTCCACATGGAAGCAGTTTAACAGTAGTCGATGCAATACCTAAGCCAATGAAAAATACAGAAATTGCAGACTAAATGAAAAAAATTTACGTTCAGAATATAAGTAACTTAAAAACTGCACATAAACAGAATTTTATATTACAATTGAACCAACCTTTGCTAATGCTGACCCGTCAGCGGATCGAACTGCCCCTACATTAAAGCAGGAAAAAGTTCATTTGACATGGCTAAATAAACTTGAGGGTTGCATAAATCAAGTTATTATTAAATAAGGAATATAGAATGAATGATATTGACTCTAATGTACATATGAATTGTGAGAGGAAAACTTACCATTTATTCACGAAATTAATCCGGAAGAAAGAAGCAATCTTCCGATCGAACCCAAATTCCAAATTCAAAAGTAGACGGGTCCGAGAAAGGCAGGCGTGTGATATGGTTGTCCCACTGCAATATAAATTCAATCACAAAATTGTTAAAGGTGTGTCCTTTTTACCCCATAATTGACAGAGTAAAACAACATATAATCATAGAAACTTTCGCTTATTGGTGAATGCTGGACGAAGAGAGGAAAAAAATCGCATGAGAATAAGAAACCATTCAACAATAAGCATCATGCAAGCTGTCAAGAACCACTAATAAAAGTATCAAATAACACAAAAGATCAACTGCATTGTATACAATAGGAGAATGAGAATTAAGAAGGCAGCAAGGAACAAAGAAAATTAAAAGAGTGAAAAATAAAAACTGGATTGATGGTGTAAAACGGAAGTATCTGAGCTAGTTGGAGACTTCCATACCTCAAACCGAAGGCGGCGTGCTGTCTAGTAGTCCAAACCTTGATCCTTGATAAATTGAACTTCCTTCTTTCATCTAACAATCGATAAATAAGGCAGTATGTCATCGCAATACAACACCCCTATACGTACACACACATACCAAAACAGCCTACATTCAGATTTGCATCATATCCTTGTTTCTAGCTCTCTGGGGAATTTTCACAAACACCTAGTAGTCCAATACAATCGTTCATTCTATCATGTTTCCTGCGAAAGATGGTAGCACCTAAACCAAATGCAGCTATATAATACCATGACTTGAAGGTACTTAAGATTATAAAGTCACACCAAAGAGATATTTTTAGATACAAATCCCCCACATCTATTAAGAAAGCAACCATAATTTGGGAAAGGAAAACGCGCAGCTATCCTAATTTTTCAAAAATAAAAGGATTAATAGGAAGATCAACCTGGAAAACACATAACCCAATGTAATTAGACAGACCCTTTTGCAAAAATCAAATCTCGGTATCTCTGTCTCTCTCTTTACAGCAACCTTAATTCACTGGATTACTGATTAAACACACAAATAGATTACAACAACCTTAATTCACTCGATTTACACATTCAAACTATCGATTAGTCTCTGGGGAATTTTCACAAACACCTAATATGCAAGATTGCAGACACCAAATTAATCTTAAAAAGTAAAAATTACCAGGAAAAATGAGAAAGATGGATAAAAGCTATAGAGAAAAAATAAACCTGGATTTGGAAGAGAGTTACAATGCTGGCAGCATTACGCGGGAATGCTCTTGCCTTGGTTTCAAAGGGATGTTCCCGTCGGATACAATACGCCAG